TTGTGTGCATCCGTGTCGTTGAGGACCTTCCATTTTTTCCGACCCTTCCACTTGGCCATGCAGTATGTCTTTCTCCAGGAATTGGTCTTTCCTGGCAACATGTCCAATGTAGAGGGTCGATAAAAATAAAGACACCCTCAACAAGAAGGATCAACACAAGGTCTGCAACAATTGACTCAAACATGCCAAGAATCAGGAAGATTCCACAGAACTAAGCAAAATTTCATTGTGCACTACTTTGGGTCATCATGAATGGACCCCAACTCTAGAGCAATGAACAACTAACTGAAAACAATAAAAGGCAACTCGAACTGGCTTTGTTGATACTCTTCTTTATAAATGATTTTTTTTTTCTCTTTTGAAATCAACATTATTCTTCTCCAGGGCCACTGATGGCGTAATGGTTACACGGTGAACTCCTAAAAATTAAGTCAGCAGTCCCAAACCATGAGCCAGCTCCTCTGGAAAAAATAGAGGCTTTCTAAGACTGTGAAGAGTTCCAGTACTGGAAGCTCCACAGGGCAGTTCTACCTTCTCCTACAGGGTTGCTATGAGTCAGAATCGACTCAACGGCAGGGAGTTTGATTTTGAATTATTATTCACCTGCTATAACATACATAGAAATCTGGTGGCGTAGATGGTTATGCTACCAACCATAAGGTCAGCAATTTGAACCCATCAGCCACTCTACAAGAAAAAGATGAGGCTTTTTTTTTTAAATCATTTTATTTGGGGCTCATACAACTCATCACAATCCATCCATCCATCCATTGTGTCCAGCACATTTATATATTTGTTGCCATCATCATTCTCAAAACATTTGCTTTCTACTTGAGCCCTTGGTATCAACTCCTCATTTTCTCTCTCCCTCCACCGCCTTTCCTCCTTCATGAACCCTTGATAATTAATAAATTATTATTCTTTTTTCATGTCTTACATTCTCCAATGTCTCCCTTCACCCACTTTTCTGTTGTCTGTCCCCCAGAGAGGGGGTTATATGTAGATCATTGTGATTGGCACCCCTTTCTCCCCCACCTTCTCCTTCCCCTCCTGGTATCGCTACTCTCACTATTGGTCCAGAGGGGGTTATCTGTCCTGGATTCCCTGTGTTTCAAGCTCTGTACCAGTGTACATCCTCTGATCTAGCTGGAATTGTAAGGTAGAACTGGGATCATGATAGTGGAGGCGGGGTGGGGAGCATTAAAGAACCAGAGAAAAGTTGTATGTTTCACTGGTGCTATACTGCACCCTGACTGGCTTGTCTTCTCCCTGTAACCCTTCTGTAAGGGGATGTCCAGTTGCCTACAGATGGGCTTTGGGTGTTAACAAACCCAGGGACAAGGGAACAGCAAATGATCCAAAATCAATGGCAAGGTGGGTGTAGGAGGGCTGGTAGGGCTTGATCAAGGGCAATGTAACTGAAAGGAATTCCTGAAACCCAAATAAAGGCTGAACATGATAGTGGGACAAGAGGAAAGTAAAAGGAAATAGAGGAAAAAGCTAGGTGGCAAAGGGTACTTATAGGGGTCTAAATACAGGCATGTACATATGTAAATATATTTATAGATGACAATGGGGTAATAGATATATGTGCAAATATTTATAGGTTTAGTATTAAGATAGCAGATGGACATTGGGCCTCCACTCAAGTACTCCCTCAATGCAAGAACACTTTGTTCTATTAAACTGACACTCCATGATGCTCACCTTTCCGACTTGATCACTGAAGACAAAGTGGGTACATAAGCAAATGTGGTGAAGAAAGCTGATGGTACCTGGCTACCAAAAGATATAGCATCTGGGATCTTAAAGGTTTGAAGATAAACAAGCAGCCACCTAGCTCAGAAGTAACCAATCCCACATGGAAGAAGCACACCAGCCTGTGTGACCATGAGCTGTCAAAGGGATCATGTATCAGGCATCAAAGAACAAAAAATCACATCATTGTGAATGAGGGGGAGTGCGGGGTGGGGACCCAAAGCCCAGGCAAGATTAGGCAAGATTAGGCTCTTTGTGCCTAGAACTCTAGAACTGTTCGATTCTACCTTATTGGATTACTAGGAGTTGCAACTGACTTGATAGCCGTGAGTATTACAACATAAATGCAATGTTGTTCATATTAGATTTTCAATATGCTCTGCTTTTTAAGGAACAGATGGCATTTGGATATATAAAAGCTTTCCAAAATGTGGATTTGTCAACTTTTCTGAAAAGCTTGACAATCATCTTCAGAGTTTTCCCAAAAGACGTTTTCCTTTTCTCATTTTTCATCTCTTTTAAACCAGTGGCTATTTTTATTTTTATGATCTTTGGAACAAGTAGCCTTTTGATTTACAACAGCTGTATTCCGATGATACACACATGTTTTATTTTTGTGTTTATAATGTATTTGTTTTTAATCATCCAGTAACAAGATATAATTTTGGCCCAAAGATTCTGAGAATCATTCGGGTCTTTTCAATGAACATACTCAAGTTATAGAGTAGCTTGGCTCCACATCTCATTACCATAAATTTGTTTCATTTGAGTTCCAACAAAGATAATTGTTACGCATGGGTATAATATTTTCCATCCTTGATTTCTGACCCTATTTTGCTCCTGAGTTCAGAGATGACATCCATCAATTCTTTATTCCCTGGCAATGTATTTGAACTTAATCCCTGCTAATACAACTACTCTTCAAATGTATGTAAGTATAAAGAAGTCAGGATTTGAATCGACTGACAACTATGAAAATAAATATAGACACATTCTCAGGTTCATCAGTGCTCGTGGGCTAATGTTCCAGAGACTGCAGGAGGGAAAACAGATGCTTATAGGCAAACACAACTTCACAGGAATCAGGAAACAGTGCTCATGAACATGGCCATACATTATTTGTTTAGTTTCTTTTCCCAAAGGATTTATTTAAAAGCCGATAATAGATTAAAAGATAAGAATAAGATCTTGGGCCACTTTGCCTTATTCCAATTATCACATTCCAATGCTGGTGCACCATGGACCTACTCTAAACAAGGAAGCTAAAATATGCACATGCTCAATACAATGGTGACAATTGAAGATGATCAGAAGTTAATGGCTGTCGACCAGATTAATGCTGGAAACCCAAATTTGCCTAATCATCCCCATACTGCCTTGCAGGCAAATCTCAACCACCCAAATAAGAATGCACTATCAAATTCAGGTCACCACATGGTTGGTTCCTGATTCAAATAATTACATGTTAAGATGTTGTTATGTACACAACAATGGGCTCAAGAATAGGGATCAATGTGAGGATGCTGCAGCACCAGACGGTGCTTTGTTCTGTTGTACGTAGGGTCACTGTGGGTCGGAACCAACTTGATGGCACCTAACAACAACACATGCAAGTGTATATAATGTTTGCAAGGTAAGATATGTTCACTTGGCCTAGAATACATTAGTGACCCATGAAATAATTTAAATTGAAAAAAAAAAACCCTCCATGCTTTACAGGTAATAATTAATTTTGTCTATTAAAATAAACCAAGGGATAATATCCAAATCTATGATTCATTGTTATTTATAAGTCTAGAACAAGGTATTGACTCTATCCTGCCTTGTTAATCAATGTTAGTAAGAATAGATAGTATGGTAGTTATGTAATTTCACATCTACTTAAAGATATATAAAAGTGTAGGGGTAGTATTCAACCTGTCAATCAGGTCATATAGCCTGATGGTGCCTCCTGGTGGGCTTGGCCTTCTCCTAAGGAAGGCACAGGGAAACTCAGCCTCTCTCTCTGCCTTCACCAGGGTCTCCCTGTTGGCTGACTCTGGTTGCTGCCAGAGCCCTGGAATGAATCCACCACCATTGGATCCACATGACTCTGCACCCACGGGCCTGTGCTCTTCCTACATTCTGCATCATTGCTTGTGACTGCATGTGGACTAGTACCGGACTTATGGATTTGAGCTAAACTGGCCTGGGATGTCTTCTTGATATATAATTACTTCTTATTATATATAAAGCTCTTTCTTACACATATATGAGAGTCTCTGTTTCTCTGTCAACCCAGCCTAACACAGATAGGTTCAGCCATGAAGCCTGCTTCCATAATAACTAGGGTTTATATTCCTAAGAAACAAGAACAACAATAAAATATTACAGAAGTAGCAAAGACCCAACTCAAAAACCAAAGCGTCACTTCAGCCATTATATCTTTCCACAGTTCCTCAGAGGCCTGAGGGGCTAATAGATAGTTCTATTGTAGCTCCCTTTCTCCTAAACAACTAAGAATAAACAAGGTCAGATAAATAATTGTCATTCAAGGAAAGAAAACTACTGTTACCCATTTCTTCCACATAAATCTTTCTAAAAGAAAATATTTCTGAGAGTGAAGTTGTTTCTTGGGGAAAAAAAAAGATTACTGAAAAAAAGTCCTGAATATTATAAGAGCTGGGTGGAGTAGAATTCTTTTGTGTGTTTAAGTTTTCTGACACTGCAAGTATATAACGTAAGATCCATTTATTATGCAGTGGCAACCTCAGTTCATATAAGTCAGTGGTTCTCAACCTTCCTAATGCTGCGACCCTTTAGTACAGTTCCTCTAGTTGGGGTGACCCACCAACCATAAATTATTTTCATTGATACTTCATAACTGTAATTTTGCTATTGTTATGAATTGGGAAACCCTTGTGAAAGGGTCATTCAACCCCTAAAGGGGTCGCAACCAACAGGTTGAGAACCACTGGTATAAGTAAATAAAATGGGCTAAAAACAACCCAATGGTGTCACAGGAAGGATTTTAATTTCTGGAAGAATGTGTATGCCCCCAAAATTAATTTCCAAGAGTATGAGAATGTGTTCACACTACAAAATTAGCCAATTCAGATGTGATCAAATAACGTCAACTACATAATATGCTATTGTTTCCCGCAATAGCATTCCTGAAGAATGCTATTCTTCCCATAGCATTCTCAGCCATGCATGAAAAGGTTTTGAGTCATACAAAGAAAGTTGGAGGTCACTTTTCTTACCTGGCACCCTCTTGGCCCAGTTGATCATGTGAACCAGCTCCCTGTCTGCCAGGTTGGTCAGCAAGCCCATCATGGAAGCTTCGCTGAAGGGCCGGGTCGGATCGTACTCAGAATAGATTATGGGAGGCTCAGCCTCCAACAAGGCACTGACCATCTGATCGGCTGTCAGGGACAAGGCTGGACTGTTCTTCTTGGTGTGCTTAATCAAGAGGGGACTTGGCCAAAGGTTGGTCCCTCTCATATCTCCAGAGGGCCCCGATTCACTCCTGCCTTCCCCATCATCTCTCTGCCGCTTGTGCTTCAACATCCTCCCTCCTCTTCGATCTTTCCGAATCCCTGAGAACACAGGAAAAAGAAATTGTGTATTATTTTCTCATGCAAAATTCCACAGGAAAATTATCTGTGATGTTAATAGGCC